GGGGGGCCATGTTTGGGTTTTTTTAAGAAAGCTGTTTTGTGAACATAAGAGTTGAGTGTTTCTGGTTCTGTGTGTTTTTAATTTTCTGAAATGTTACAGGTGAGTTGCAAACAAATAGCCACTAAGTAAAGAGCACCTATCTTGTTGTGAAAGGCACATAGTTGCAATTGTGTTAAGCTTTAGAACATTAAGTCCAAAATGGAATTTACTCTTTAAATTATGCAAACTTATGAGGGGAAAAACTATTCCAATCTGGTAGAAACTTTTAATAAGTTATGCCCCACAGTTAAATACCCAAAAATATTTTCCTAAACCCATAAATGTAAGGGGTGGGGGAGAGAAGAAACTTCTTAAAATCAATCCATTTGGCCTATCAATTGACAAGAAAGCAGGAACCTTGGATTCTTAGATCGCCTGTTAGAGCCTAGACAAATTGATGTTTTTTTTCTTGCAAAGCAGTCCATAAAATACAATTATTACTTAAATATGAATGTAACTAATTTAGGGCCAAATAACTATAATACTTATATGAACATTAATCTAGACTCTGTCCAGTTTCAGCTCAATCAGTATTATGAGCCATGTCACTTGTTAAAAATTTCAGGCACAGAATAAGACTCTTACTTGCTTAATTAACTTTATTTTGCAAAGCTTTATTCGGTTTTCTTCACTCAAAAGTGCAAAACTTCAGTTTTAGAGACATTGTTGTCACTAGGGAAGACTGGTTGGTAGCATTTCCCACATTCCAGTCTGTTGGCTTTTCAGTTCATTTTATAAACAAGACTTGGGACCCAGATACAGTATTTTACAGACAATGGAGATCAATACCAATGAAAGAGATTCTAATTTTGACAAAACACTCCCTGTTGTACTCAGTCATAGAATCATAGAAAATTAAGGTTGGAAGGGACCTCAGGAGGTCATCTAGTCCAACCACCTGCTCAACGCAGGATCATCCCCGACTAGATCATCCCAGCCAAGGCATTGTCTAGCTGGGTCTCAAACTGTGTGATCCGGCCCATGGGCCTCCCTATGAATCCCGTGGGGAGCTCCAGGAGGTGGTATAGGGCCTGATACTGGGGTGCGGAGAGAGCCCCATGCCATTCTGCTGTCCCACAGGGCCAAAACTGTGAGCACCGCTCTTTTGTAAGATGATACATAAGATGAAGCAAAGGAGGACTTAGAACAAAGACTTGAAACGTAGAGAGGAGTCTAGAAAGAGTATATGTTTTAATGATTCCTAGTCAATTATTAGAAAAAGTTAAGAGCCCCTTTAGAGAAGGTCTTATAGATTTGTATTGTATGATTTAGCCTGAAATTAGAATTTAATTCAAATATAAATTTGTGTTCGTTAATAATTTAGTCTTTAAAAACACCATAATGCTCTATACTTGGTACAGCCTGTTTCCTTGTTATTAAAAGTGGCGGAAACTATTGATACAAATGTTATACTGCAGAGAAAACAAAAGAAATTGATACTGCCTTTTTCACATTGCTTTATTAGCTAGCTACTTCTGGAATTATAGTGACATCTAGAGTTGGAAAGTGCTTTTCCACAAGTTATGTCCACAGACACTTGGAGAGAAATACACCCCTATTTTAATGTTAGACATACAATACAATCTCATCGCTTTATCTTGACATTTGTGCATCTTGCCAATTCATAAAATTTGAAGTAAAAGGGAATCTTAACAATTAATCATAGTGCGTTACAAAAAAGCCCACAATTTGTTTTTATGTAGTTAAGTTTTACTTTGTCCATGCTTGTATTAAGTATTGTGTAGTGTAGTGTGTATAGAAGAATTGTTTATCCAAAAAAAAATGTTAACCTGTAGAATTTGCAGCTACACTACCTTGAGGCAAATAGTTTTTGGAATTAAATAAAGGATTGCATAATTATTATAGGAGTGACTGCAGAAGTGTACAAGATGCCATACTTCAAGAGTGAAACCAGTTTTTAAATGCCTGGGATTAAGAAGAAACTTGGCCTTATTGGTGGATTAGTCTCTAACTTTGTCCACAGGGGATTTTGGAGAAGGGAAGTTGTTTTCACTTTCCTCTGAAATATCTGGTGCTGGTCTGTGTTGGACAGGACAGTGGACTAGATGGTCCTTGGGTGTTGTCCGAGTTGGCAGTTCTTGTATTATTAGAAGTTCTTGAAATGTTAGCATTAGATTCATATGAAAAAATACAGAAAGCTTTTTATATGCAGAAATAAATTCTGAATCAGAACATTTCCATGAAATATAAGCAGCTCTTCAATGGAAGTCCCTTTCCAATATATTTATTTACATTTGCAGGAGCGGGCTTAGACATGTTTTCCTATCGCTATAATATCAGCTTATTTTTCTTAGTATGCAATCAGAAGCAATATTACAAAAAACAAACAAAATCCAACCCCAAAACCATCATTCAGTAAGGATCTATTTTTTTGGAAGGGAAGTTTAAAAAAAAAAAAAAAAAAGACTCAGGTTTTGACTGAGAAATCTCAAACACCTGCTAAATTTCCTCATCTGTTTTGATAAACGTTGTCATCATCTGTTCCCAGATTCCCCTGGAAAAAAAAAATGTAGAAAGCTTCAATGTTTTGTATGGAACAGTTTTTTGCTCATTTTAAAAAGACTGCCTCATAGAGGCAAGCTTCCCTGCTGTCCCCCCTGCCCAACTTTGATACTCTGTAAAGATGCTTCTTCCCCTTTGTGTTTTATATCCAAATGCCTTCATGTACATGGCATCTGTGGCATTCTCAGCCTTTCTTAATCCACTTTTGATTGACATGGATACAGCCTCCATGGAGCTCATAGTGAGACATGTACATATTTGATTTAAGCTATGTGTATCTGCCATTCAGAGCAAGTACAAGCCACCAATTTTATCTGGGTGGAGGGAGGCAAGGAGAAGGAGAGGCAGTTATTAAAAGAAAATGTTCAGGGCCTGGAAAAAAATAAAGTTCAGTTTTGAGGGAGGGAGGGGTGACTGTTTGACCTGTCAGCACTGCTTGCCTGTTTCATTGTATTTTTCTATTAAATGTTTTGATCCTTGGTTAGAATAGGAAAGGGGTTTTATTGCTTCTGCAGTATGACTTCAGGAGATTTTTTTTCTCAATTGGAAGTATATGCGTGTGTGTTTCTGTAACTTTTGTGGCACAGGAACAGCCCATTTTTGCTTTTTTTTGGTGTGAAATAACTTGAGTGCTTTTATGCAGTGCCATAAAGCATTCATGTGTACCATGAATGTTACAAGTATATGTTACAAGAAAAAAAATGTTTTTAGAGCTTTTCAAACCTGTATTGGGACTATTTCTTATATCCCTCCACTTGACGCACACAGCTTTTCATTACCAAGGGCCCAGCTATACTCAGTTCCAGAGAAGTAGCTAAGATTAATGTCATGGCTAGCCTGATGTCTCTGGTCTTCCAAGATTTGAAATGAATACACCTTTGGAAAGAGAAGAACCCCCAATGCTCAGGTAAGATATAGCTGCCAGTTCTAGTGTCTCAGGAATGCAAAAAAACTAAACTTCAAAAATCATGATGTTGTTAGATTTAGAACAGCTGATGCTGGTCTGGAACAGAAACTTTCATTCCTGCCTGATGCCCAGAAAGCAATTTCTCCCAAAACACAACATGGAGGACGAAGAAACATTTATCTGGGAGTTCATATATGCATATATGAATACTTCTGCTTGGGATATCGGCATATTAGAATAAATCCAAGGTGGGAGAGATTACAGGGCAGGGGATGCAGTCATAAATAAGCGATAAGTTATGTAGTCACATAGTAAATACATGCACGTACAGTAAAATAATCATCCACAACTTTATAGTAAACTATCTGAAACATTTGTGATTTTAAATTTTTATTGCAAAAGTAGCTTTTTAAATACAGGATTTTTACATATCCTTTGACTGGATACAGTAATGGAATCAAAACTTCCCACTTTCAAAAGGCACCATCCCCACCACCCTCCTGCCCCCTCGCCTTCCCGGGGCAGCCAGCCTGGTCCCAGGTGGCAGGGACAGTACATGGGGCATTGCAGGCTCGCCAAGACTGAGCTTCCCTGAGCACGCCTGGGCTTCCAGCATCCCATGCACCATTGAATCCAGTGAATGCTGCCTACGAGCTGAGGATGCACTGAGCAGCTAGCATGCTGCCTCAGTGGCACCAGGGAGAACTGCTGCCATGGAGGAAAGCACCAGGCACCACAACCTGGTGGTAGCTCATGCAGGCAGGCTCCACTGAGGGTTGGGGGGGGGAGGTGAGGGGCCTGCTCCTTTTTTTTTTTTTCCTTTCTTCCTGGAGCTTGCCTGCATCTTCTATGGCTGGGGAGTGAGCTGCTAGCAGGCCCTGAGTTGTGGGGTACCCTGGTACTTCCCTCTGCAGCAGTGGCACCCCCTGGGCAACACCTACCCTCTGGCACCTTGCCTGGGTGGTCCCAGGTGCACTGCTGTCATGGAGGGAAGCACCAGGGCCCCCCCACAACTCGGCCCACTGGCAGCTCGCCCTGCGGGAAAGGCAGGTAGGCTCTGGGGAGGAGAGGGGGGCTTAAGGCCCCTCGCTGCTTTTTTGCTTTTCCTTCCCAGCCCACCCCCCGGCAGAGCCTGCTGTCTGTCTGTTCAGTGCACGCTGGTTGTTTCAGTAAGTATTGTGATTGGCTGCCAAGACAACCAATCAGAGTGCTGCGGACAGACAGAATAAGTGTATTATTATTATAGATTACATTTGCAGGTTGTGCATGCACGCAGGCACACAAACATTTAGTATAAATGGTCTTGGAGAAATATGGCTGTAAACTCTCCTATTCATATAAAAATAAAAGCATCTAAAAGGCTAGTAATTGTTGATTGCAGTCTGTTTGTGCTGTCACTTACTGTTGCTCAGAAGAATACTCAAAACAAGGTGGGGGGAAAAATGTGTTTTGGGAATATGATACAGTTCTGACATTTCAGTTGCTGTTTTTTTTTCCTATGCAGTTTGCTAGCAATAATCAGAAGATTTTTGGTAAACACTTTCTTATAGGACTAGTTACTTACAGTCTGATGACGGTTTTCGGCATATCTCTTCCTGTATAGTTCTTGTGCGATTGCTTGAAAAACTCTTCGTCTACTGTTATGTTTCTGTAAATTAAAGTGTGTAGTTAAAGTTAAAATATTGGGAAAGGATTTGGGGAAAAATGTATTTTTCCCCAATTTAAGTCAACCAAATTATCTATTTTTATGTGGCTCGATTTTTTAATTATCAAATGTATAAATATGAGCATCACTATAATTTAAAACCTAATTCTGTAGTCAAAAGGGGATTAATCCTTACTGGGATTAATTTTTCCAGTAAGTGATAACTCTCAAAAAGAGAGTTTGGTTTTTTTATATATGAATTTTTAAATACAGCCTAAAACTACCAGACAAAGGAAAAGAGGGGAAAATCAGTGTCCTAGCTGGGATTGGCTTTGTAATGATAGTTCACACGTTGCTAACTTGTAATGTTAAGGTTACTGAAAACTGAACAAAGAAAGTTGCCCATGTGAGGAGATGCTTAGTGTTGAACTCATAGCAAAATGCATCAGTTTTCTAGAGTTACCCCAAACTATAGATGAACAGAAAACACTTTGAATTCAACAGATACTTTTTAAAAAAAAATAAAACTTAGATTAGAAATCATCAGTGCCTAAACACGGCACGGGACATAACAGTGGGAGTCTACTACAGACCTCCCACCCAAAGTCAAGAGCTTGACCAGGAGTTCTCCCGGGAACTGGCTGAGGCTGCATACTCCAGGACCATGGTTGTGATGGGTGACTTCAGTTACCCGGACATCTCATGGGGGAATCACTCAGCAACATCTGAGCGGTCACAAAGCTTCCTATTGTGTGTGGATGACCTTTACCTGACTCAAGAAGTCTACGGGCCAACAAGAGGTAAAGCACTGCTTCACCTGGTACTGACTACTGGGGATGATGTAATTGGCGACCTAGTGATCGATGGGAAGCTGGGTGACAGCGACCGCGAGCTGATTACCTTCACCATCTGCCGTAAAGCTGGCAAGTCAGTCAGCAATACTGAAGTTCTTGACTTCAGGAAAGCTGACTTGATAAGCTCAGGAGGCTTGTCAGTAAGGCCCTAAGGGACCACGACCCCAGGGGGAAGGGGAGGGGAGTCCAGGAAGAGTGGTTGCCCCTCAAGGGAGCGATCCTCA